TGGGTAGGTGGATAGACGGGTGGGTGGATGGATAGATGGGTGGATGAATGGATGGATGGAAAGGCGGCGGCTACCTAATGCCTCATAGTAGGAGTCCTCAGACCAGCCATGGGGGTCAAACATATCCTGAAAAAGAAAAGACTAAAGCTGTAGTCAGGACAGACCACGAGAAGACAAACGACTTAGAACCCAACACCCCTTACCCCAAGTCCCTCCTTGGACCTTCCCAGCCTGAAGTCCCTTCCCCTCGAGTGACAGGGACTCACTTGTCATCCCTGGCCTCCAGCCAAGGGGGTGCCAAAAGCTTTTAGGAACATGACAGTGGTCATGAGCTTGTCCACTGAGACCTCAGGCTGTTCTACAGGGCCGAGGCCACACTCTGACCCTAATTAACCAGGGCCCAGGAACCTGGTCTATTGCTGGAATCTCTTTACTGGACTGTTCCAGAACAGCGACTCAAACGAGAGATGAGGCGTGTGCTCTACAGACAGCAGTGCTACTGCATGAACCCTCTGTGGCTCCAGGCTGGACCTGGCAGAGCGAGCAGAGCCCTGGGCACCTGGGCACCACCCCACTGCCAGCCTCATGTGCAAGACACACCTTTGGGTAGTTGGTGCCGAGCTCGTCAATCGCACAGAACTGGATCAGCTTCTCATAGATGCTGAAAAGAAAGCACAAAAGCACTGAGCAGGCAATAGTCCCATGTCCTGCATGGTACCCAATTCCAACACATTACCAGAACCATCCAACTCCTGGACTGAGATGAACCTTAAACCCAAACTGTTCGAAGCAAGCTTCCTGATGGGAGGGGAGAAGTCCACTGGCCCGACATAAGATGATGCAGGCCCTTCCACCCTGCAGTGAGATGGGGCTGTGCGCTAGGGGTCAGGATGAGGACAGTGCTGTGCTGATGGCTGGGTTTTGTGTTCTACCTTTACGTCTCTGACCTTCCATCTGTGGCTGGGTTGGAGTCACGTGCTCAGGCCTACACCGCGCCAGGGCAGAGCCCGGCCATCACCCCATTAGGCTCCTTGCTAAGGGTTTTGCTCCCATGAGCACTGGACAGACTAAGACCCAGAACAACTCTATCCCTTAACCTCTCACCTGCACACAGGATCAACGACTACTTAAGAGTTGGAAAAAAGCAGTGATCGCCTGGTCTGACCACTTCCTACCACATATGAGGAAACTGAGGCCTGGAGAGGGTGTGGGCTTTAGGAGCAGAGTGGGGGCAGGAATCCAGCCAGGCCCCCACCCCACTCCAGCGCAGCGTTCTTGCTTCCACTCTACAGACTGGCTCACCGTGTTTAGTCTGGAGAGTGTGAACACCATCGGCCATGTCTCACACAGTCTGCTATGTCTCATGTCACTCAGCATACCACAGGGTGGGTGATGGCCCCTTTGGCCTCAGGTGGGATCTCAGCTGGGCCTCTCCCCTCTCCCCACCACCTCCACACAGACACCCTGGTCCCCAGTCCGACATCAATGACTCAACTGGCCCTGTATGCTCATAGGAAACGCACCTGGGGTTCCGAAACTCCTTCTTCCTTTGGATAATGTAGTTCATGTCCATTCCCTCCTTTATCTTCCGCTCGTACAGTTTCTGGATCTTGTCCTGCAGACGAAGAGCAGGAGGGGGCTTATGAGAGAACCCCACCCACTCTGTCCCTGTGTGGTCCTAATGCGCCGTGGAAGCACGGACAGCAGAGACCCACAGGGTTACGCGGAGCCTTGCCTCGGACCAGAGCTGCCAAAGGCAGCTAGACTGAGAAGAGCCTGTCGTCACTGCTCTCCCCGACCCCCTTCTGGTGGCCAGCACAGCCGCAGGAAGAGGTCCAGGTGGAGTGGTGGATGAACCACACGATCAGCCTAAGTTAGTGTCACTGACTCTGCATGTGAAGGATGCTGAAATGGCGAATGTTTGTTACATATGTTTTTACCACACACATAAAACAAAACAGCAAACACATCCCAAATTGGTTTATCAGCTCCTGATTCAACCGAAGGTGAGCTTAGGGCATAGAGTCAGCGAGCAGGGGTTGAACGGTGGTTTTAAATTTTCACACACGGTTAAGTCCTCAGTGGAACCACGAGTCACAGGAGACTTGGGAAGGGCCTCGTCCTTTTGGAGGAAGGCAGGTGTACAGAGCTCCTCGGATTTGGTCTCAGAAGCTTCCCAGAATGCAGCCAAGGCTCAGAGATAGCCAGTGTCCATTGGCCTTTCAAGGGCCTAGAGCTCACCTTTCACCTTCATCAACCACCCTTCCCCCACCCCCTGGCCTGGCTCTGGATGGGAAACAGGGGAGCTGCCTGGCAGGAAGCCAGCCTCACGTACTGCACCAGTGCCACAGCTGTTCCTGGGGCTCACGGAGACAATGTTCTTGGCAGATGGGATCAGTGCTGCTCAGTGTCACCAGAGACCCAAGAAACTCAAGTCCCCGTGATGGGCCCAGAACAGAGCCACCTGAGGAGCAGGCTTACCCAGGGAGGTTGGTGCTGACCCAGTTCATGGCCTAGCTGCAGCCTCCCCCCAGTGGCAGCTATGCATACAGATTCTCCCAGAGGAAAACACTGGGGCTCCATGCACCTGCAAGAGGCGGCGGGCAGGGCTGGCGCTCCCCCGGGACGCCCTCTGGAAACATCAGGAGACGCGCCCTACTCCTGTCAGGGGCTGGTTCTTTCTGCCGACTGGGCCCGAGGAGGCATGAACCGCAGAGGCTTGTAACACGTTTACCAGGGATGAGAAGCCAAGAGTAACAACCCTCTTTCCTCAACATCGCCTCCTCCCTGGCCTCATAAAGACAGGAGGCTTGGCAGCTGGAGGCGAGCCCAGGTTTTAGAGGTGACCTGCTTGTATCTTGCAGGCCACGAGATTGCTCTACCACCTCAGGGGACTAAAATGCCTGCTCAGTGTCTTGCTTCTGCCCTCAGGAGGATATAAAAAGGAGGAATGTTCTGAACTCCAGAGCTGAGCCGAATGCTGGCTCTGCCTGGCAGATGGCTGGGGCTGCTCCTCACATGCTGTAGCTCATTGCCTGGCATGGGGGTGACGCCACCTCGGGGCGGGGCAGGGGGGCGACAGGGGTCCGACGACTCAGCACAGGGAGGAGTCTTCCGGGGAGGAAGGGAACCTGCGCTGCACCCCCGGCCCTGACCCTACCCCAGCCTGCTGCATTCCTCAGCCCCAGGGCCCTTTAGTCACTCATCCGGAGAGTGGTGTCATGGGCTTGAGCGTGGCCAGAGGCACCCAGGAGATGCTGCGGGATCTGAGGCAGAGCCACTGCTGTCTGCTTTGTTAGTCACTATGTCTCACCACAGGCAACCCGCAGAGGGGCAAGGAGACACAAGCACGGAGTCGGAAATCCCAGCTGTCCCCTTGGGTCCTGCTCGCAAGGGATTAACGGCACTAAACGCTCTAACCCTGTGGGATTTCCAAACCTCAGGTCAGGTTGGTAAGAGGTTTTGCCAGGCAAGAAGCTAGTGAACTGGCACTGTTGGAACGAGTATGAGGGTAAGAATTTCATGCACACAAATGCTTGTGTTTTTGTATTTCTATAATCTGTCTCCTTTATATTCTGATTGTCCCTCAGTTTCTTAGCAAAGTCGCTTCTGTGAGGTTCCCATTGGCTTGGCTGGGCTGCATAGAAAGGTATGTGATTATTTTTTCTGTCCAGGCCTAGGGCAGGCCAGGAGGTCCCAGCGAGAGTGGCACCAGGTGATATGGCAGAGCATGGACTCCTAAGGTCAGGACAGAGGGAGGGAGCTGGACTGCAGGGCCTTTCCCTCTGGGCTGCTTCCTCTGCAGGAGCCTCAGCCCCTTTCCCAGCCAGGTCTCGTGAAGTAAGACCAAACCAAACACCCCACTGGGCTACCTAATCCACCTGGCCTCACAGCCCAGCCTTGTGCTTACTTGTAAGTGATTTGAACATCTGCCAGGGGGTTCTGGCGGGATTTTGATTTCATCAGGCGACATGTTCCGGACTCTTTCAGAAAAGGAGGCTGTTGAGAGAACAGAGAGAAAAATTCTGCAGGTGAGGGGTTAGGGTGGGGAAAGACATGGACAATAAAAAAGCAGGCACATAAAATCTTTTCAGGGAGGGGTAAATGCTATGAAAACGGTAAGACAGGCTGTTCAGATGTGGCTTCTCTGAGAGGGTGTCATCTGAATCGAGATTGTATGACCAGAAGGAGCCTGCCAGTGCCAGTATGGGGAAGAGAAGTCCAGGTAGAAGGCACAGGTGCAAACGACACAGGTGCCAAGCCTCGGCAGTCGACCTTTAAAGAAAGTATGTCAGTCGTGCTGGTGAACATTTAGCAACCAGCTTGGGAGAGACGGGGAGCCAGGATCTGTAGCATTTGCCAGTTTCTATGGTGTAAATTCTCCCTCGGTCGTCAATTGCAAGCTACCAATGTGAGGTCACTGACCCTAGGGCGGGGAGGAGGTGTGCACAATGTGATCAGGCCCTGCCAGCTCCAGCCCACCACTGGGCATAGCCCTAAAACCCCTCCAGGACCCCTGAAACTCAGAGTCGCTTGGCGCCGTTCTTCTCATCCCGGGCCGCCCTGCCCAGGCTCTAAAGAGACCAGGGCTCCTGAGGCTTTGGGTCCCAAAGCATCCAGACCTGTGCCTTGTGCATAAATGACATTTTAGAAAAGTTGCCTAAGCTAAAAATTAACTTAGGAACTTAAAAAACAAAAAACCACCAATCAACCCTCTGTTGGTCCACCTCATTCTTGGGAACAAAAGGCCGGTTTCTGATGTGAAAAACCCCAACCCCCAAGGGACAATTCCCGCAGAGATTTGCCAGTATCCACCCAAGCTTCGTTCTCTCTCCACTCCCTTCCCTTAGCCTCTGGCCACCCTGGCAGCTGCAGAGTTGTGCTCTGGATCACTCAGACAATGTGCTGTTTGTTGTAAGATTCTGTCCGCACTCTTTAGAACATTCTCTCATGAAAAGAACCACACAATGTGCAAACAGCAGGCAGAGCAGGGTGGGACAGGATGAAGGGAAAGAATGGGCAAACTGCCACCAGTAACATTCAGCAAGGACTGGGCACCTACTGTGTGCCAGGCCCCTGGCTGACCCATTTCTCAGAACAGCTCTCTGGGGCCAAGAGGCTGCCCGGGGCTGGCCTAGCATGGCCGGCCCCTTCTCCTCCTCTCCCAAAGCTGGGTTAATATTTTCTCAGCAGATAAGGAGCTCTGATATCTGCCTCGGGTTTCAGTGTTACCTTAAAGCACACCATGATGGGTAGGGCTGGGGATAAGGCCCCAGTGGACTTTGCTGTCCCAGCTGCTGCCATATAGGCCGGCACACACTACAGGTATGCCAAGACTGGCAGAGGGCTTGAACCCCGGGCAATCTCATTACACTGAACACTCCTGCTGGACGTGCCCCAAGAGCACCGCCCTGGACAGCCATTTTGGGTGAGGGTAAGAGAATGGAGACCACGTGACACAGAGACCAAAGGTCCTGCTTGGACCTGACATATCAGCTTCCACGGGGACTGTGTACTTCTCTTGCCCGGCACCTTCCTTCTGCCTCCTGACTCAGGGAGCAAAGGCGACACCCAGGCCTGGCTGGAGTTCAAGTCAAGCTTTGACTTCCTCCTTTCTCTTAGCCCTGGGATAGTCAGAAGCTCTCACCCAAGGCTCGGGCAGGCTGCAGAAGCCCGTCGAGTGGAGTTAGCTGGGGTGGGTCGGCCCTCTGATTTCGTGGGCATCAGCAATGAAAGCTTTGGGTGCACACACAAGTGGGGCAAAGCTCTTCGCTGGTCTGAGAGCGTGCGTCTGTGTGAGAGACGAAGAGCGTCCTTTGGCATTTGCCAGGAAGGCCTTTGGGAAAAACAGGATGTGGCCATGCTGCCATAGCAACCTGACCACATTCTGGGGCTCAAATGGTACAACGTGATGGGTTGGGGAATACCCCCGAGTTCCTGGGCTGGAAAGAAGAGAATCGCCAGGAAGTAACTAGCAAAAAAGGGGACACATTCAGGAAAACCAGATGAAAGTTGACCCCACAGGATAATTCAGGAGCAATCTTTTAGTGATTCTCTCTTTCCTAAGTCCCAGAATACGTCTACCAGGTAAGACATCAGACCCACATATGCTGTTATTTGAGTAGCCACAAGCATTTTCCCAGGACATATCCCCAGACTCTTGGAGGGAGTGGTGGTGCCGGGCTGCTGCCTGGGTCTGCTAGGGGTGTTCTAGAAGGACAGTGCACCTAGGATCTGAGCAGCTTGTCATCAGCACGATTCATCCCATGCACACCCGAGCCAGAAAACACCCAGAACATCCACAGCCGCCTGGTAGGAATGTGAGCAGGAGCCGCTGGTCGGGTGGGCTTATGGAATGGCTGTGAGTGAGCAAGACTGGGGATTCCAGGGGTGCCTGAGGGCCACAGCGGCTGTAGAATAGGAGGCAGCAGTGTCCCTTGTTCACCAGGGACATGGAGAAGCCACTGATCAGCATGCCAACAGTGCGGTGCTCTAGGACACTGGTGGGGTGCTGGTGTGGCACCAGGAGGGGGGACAAGGAATCATTTTGCTCTACCAAGCAGCTATGGTGCTGAAAGCAGCTATCGGCTGGCTTCTCCACTCTCTCGTTTGCTTACTAAAGCTGGGGCTGTCTACATATACGAAGTGCTTTTCAGTCCCAGGCAGGCAGCCTGTGAGGCATGACACCCAGAAACAGTCACGAAAGGAGCTAAGTTCAGGTGGAGGGACTGACACCCATGGACAGCAGCATCAGCGGAAGCCACCCTGTCAGCTAAACTCGTCACCTCCTCAGTGAGAAACGGGAAGAGCATTCAAGACTATTCGGCTTCAAGATCCATTTGCATCTTCGGTGGGTGAGTGGATAAATAAATTGTGGTGTGTCCCTACAATGGGACACTACTTAGCAATACAAAGAAAGAAACCATGGATATGCTCAACAACACGGGTGAACCTCAAAAGCATTATGTCAAGCGAAGAAGCCGTACCCAAGATTCCGTTTGTGTCAGTGGTTCTCCACTGGGGATGACGTGGCTCCGCAGGGACACTGGGCAATGTCTGGAGACATTTTTCACTGTCACAGCTGGAGAGGGGGGTGCTACTGGCATCTAGAGGGTAGAGACCAAGGATGCTGCTAAATGTCCTACAATGCACAGGGCAGGCCCATCACAAAGAATTATCCATGCCAAAATGTCAACCGTGCTGAGGATGAGAAAGTCTAGTTTTTATAAGATTCTAAAAAAGAGAAAACTGCAGTGAAGAAAGCAGATCAGTGCTTGCCTGAGGCTGGGGGAGGAAATGGTCTGCAAGGAGGGTGGGTGCCCTAAAGGAACATTTTAGGGTGATGGAGATGCTCTCTGTCATGATAATGGTGGGGGTTAACGTGACTCTGTATCTGCCAAAACTCACCCTGAAACCGGGGAACCCTACTACATGTAAATTATACCTCAAAGAAGCTATTAACAAAAAGGGGCAAGGGGAGAAAAAGTGACGGCGCCATGGGAGAAGCTGGTGGCAGGACAGCTGACACCCACACACATTCCACAGGCTGCCTGCTTGCCCACCCGGGCACTACTACTACTGTGTCCTGGCAATCCTGGTGTGCGGACAGGCTGCTCTCTGCCCCTACTTCACACAGTTTCTCGGTAGTAAACAGCAGGGAGGTGGGGGTTGGAGGAGGGTTGGCCGAGGCCCCAGTCCCCACACGGCCCGTGGCTCAGGACCGGGAGAGGCTGCTGGTCCCTGGCAGGCGCAGGCTCTGCATCCTCTGTCCACAGAGCTGACTGCCACACCCCTAAAGTGCCATTTTCTAGACAGCAAAAACTAGGTCTTAAGGAAATGCTGATTTTTGTACGATTTGAAAGACACAAACCACGTTCATCAGGAAACCCAGGGATGAAGGCAGAACCCTGCCAAAGTCGTGGGCTACCTGGAGTGGTCGGTTCCTACCAGTACCTCCTCAGCAGGCCAATCTAAGAACAGTTTCCAGCTCCTTGAGTTAGGGAGAAACAGAACAGGCTCCCTCCTCCCACCCCAGCGAGAGCCCCTTCAGAGAAAGGCCAGGTTAGCGAGAGGCAGGAAGCAGCACTCCCAGGCTAAGTCCTGGACTTTGAGTCCCCAGGGCTGGTGTGCATGAGTCATGGCCCCAAAGAGGAAGCACAGGAATGGCCCTGCGGGCCAGTGTCCAAAGCAGAGCCCAGCGAGCAGGAGATTCATGGGACGGGCCAGGAGAGATGGTAATGGCCGCCACAGAGAGGAGGGTCCACTCCTCCTCGAGGTCTGGATTCAGATTGCTGGGAATTTCCCCTGGGTCAGGTGCTGGGGAACATTACAAAGTCCATGGCCAAAGCCAAGGAGCTGAGGGGCTTTCTAAGAGGATCAAGAAGCTGGAGCTGACACGGGGCTTGGATGACATACGTGCTGTTTTCCAGAAACACAACCTCCTTGCTCCTTCCAAGCCATAAAGGGTCCCAGTCTCTGCGGCTGTGAGGCATGTTCCCGCCTGGGGACAGAGTGCATTGCCAGCAGAGGCCACGTGGTCATTCCCCGGGCAACACGAATATGCCAGCAGAGGGGGAAGAGGGGTGCCAAGACAGAGGACTGGGCCCAGGGCACAAGGGGAGCGAGCTGTCAGCTGAAGGGGGCCCTGAATTCCCTTTTGACAATACTGGCCAACTGACCAGAGCCCAGTGAAATGCACCATGAAGCCAAGGTTAAGGGAAGAATTGCTCCCCGGTGTCTTACCCAGACATCTTAGCAGATGCTAAGGGCCTCAGAGGGAGCACTCGGAGATGCCCGCTCAATGGGGCAGCTGCTTTGGCCAAAGTAGAGAGAAGCCCCGGGACACAGGCCCTGCAGGTGGGAAGCCAGCATTGGGGTCAGGCTCCGAGCCGTGCCCCTGAGGATCCCCTGGGGGACTTACCAACTAATTCCTGGGGATCTCGCTTTTCTATCTCTGCATTATCCTGCAAAAGAGAAACAAAAATACAAGGAAGTGAGCCTGGGCTCCCGACCATGGTTACTTCCTTCACTGGGACCATCAGTGTGGCCCAAGGAGGAGAAAGATAGGTAAAAGCACTGTAGGAGCAGTGACATGCCAATGTCCTGGGGCCTCAGGGGCCAGGCCCTCTGCCCCCTTCTGCATGAGAGCAGCTGGAGGATCTAGATTCAGTTGCGGCTCGCTCCCCCATGGCCTCCAGCCCCTGCACCCTGCCCTGTCTTCCCCTGGCCCTGAGAAGCATGCCGGGACAGAGTGTGCAGACAAGGCCCAGCCATCTCTCACCCCAGAGCCAGGTCAGCCACCAGGAGCACCACTGCCCTGGCCGTGGGTCCCAAGGAAGCAGGAGGGGACCACTTTATAACGTCAGAATTTCATGACTATAACACAAAAGAGTGGCTGCTCCCAAGAGGTCTTTTTTTCTGGTGTAAGCAAAAAGGAGACAAGTTATTGTAAGGCTAAAGGGCAGGACGTGGAAGCCTGGAACAGGCCTTAGGCGAGTGGCCAACAAGGCCTAGGAAGGCATCGACACCAGGGCAGCCTGTCCCTCCGGCTCTCACCTCACAGCTTGCACTGCCTCAGCTTTATATCCTGTCCTCCATTCCTTCACGCACCCGGCTGCCCACACCACCCCCTCCCACGTCCTTCAGCTCAGCCACGTGCAGGACCTCACAGCCGAAGCTCTTATCGATGCTTCTGGGACACGCTTTGCTTTACTGCTGCAAAGTCAACTCTTCACCCACACCAAGTCAACACGGAGGAGGCTGAGGTCCAAGCCCCACGTTCTGAGCTTCTGGCAGGCGGGGAACGAAGGCTTTCCCTTGCCTCCATGGCCCCAAATGTCAAATGGGGAGAACATACCCGCTTCCCCCATTTCTGGGGCTGTGCATGCTCAGTCCCTCACAGCTAGAGTGGGCTCTCGAGTGCCCAAAAGGCTACCGACCAAAACGCAAATGGTGAGTTCACAGAAAGCGATGGTAGGAGGGAGGAGAAAAGACTGGAGAACTCCAGTACCTTCTCTGCAACAAGACCTTCAGACAACAGTACACAGCTCCACAGACCCCTTACACGAAGAAATGTCACACCAAGGATGTCTCAAAAATGAAGATGCAAGGAAGGCTACCTAATCCCCTGCCCAGCCATGGCTCCAAGTGGAGACTGGAGTATGGTGCCTAGCCCCCTTCCTCAAAAGTTCCCCGATTGAGAACAGGCCAAATACCCCTCGTTCTTCTCACGTTGTGGCTATTCACTCAGCCTGGGAGGGGGTAACGTCCATGCCAGGCGGCTTAGCTACCGCTGCTTCCAGCCACCCCCCTCTGCCAGTCAGGTGGACAAAGAAGCTGGGACGAGGCTGGGCAGAGGGTGGGGGCAGCCTGGAGGACTGCCATACCCGATTCAGGGTGTGTCACAAATCAGCTGCTTTCCAGAGCTGGCCAGTCTCTCTGGGGACCAACAACAATCGCTTTGTGGCAGTAACTCTGAGGAAATCAATGTTAAAGAGCGTTGTCAGTCACAAGATGTGGAACCGTAACAGTGGTTAACAGCTCGGCTACTAACCAAAAGGTTGGCGGTTTGAATTCACCAGCTGCTCCTCGGAAACCCTATGGGGCAGTTCTACCCCGTCCTATAGGGTCGCAATGAGTTGGAATCGACTCAACAGCAATGGGTTTGGTTTTAGAACATTTCCTCAAATGTTCCCTCTAGGGAACAGCTTTCTGGGTGCTAACTGTGGGAAAGCATCACTGGGTACATCCTACTGCCAACTCTTCCTCAGAAAAGGCTCCCACACCCTGCCATTCCCCAAGCAGTGCACTGAGCCAGCCCTTGTTCTGGACCACAGCTGAGCCAAGGACAGAGGGGCAATCTGTTCACACTGGAATTCTAACGTGTCTACCCAGATGCCCAAGAATTTAGTCACCAAGCACACGACACGACATCTCTTCAAAGGGGACAGCGTTTGTTTACTTCAGGGGCTCCTTGGGTCAGATGTCTCCCTGTGGTTTCTTGCAGCTTTTGTGACCCAGCAATGCGGGAGGGGGTAAGGATTGGGGTGGGGTGGATTCCTGCGTTCCACAAGGCCCCTGCCTGGCTTATCTGGGATTATTCAGTCATGTCTCTGGAAGAAGAGATGATTGGGCAAAATCACAGACCAAAAACCCCAAACCTGTTGCCGTCGAGTCCATTCCAATGAATAGCGACGCTATAGGACTGACAGGAAGTATCTTTTTCCCTTCTTTTAGTCTCCTCCAATTTTTGGTTCGGCTCCTCATTCCAAACTTAATCTCCCTACCCTGGTGGTGCAGTGGTTAAGAGCTACGGCTGCTAACCGAAAAGGTGGGCAGTTCGAATCCACCAGCTGTCCCTTAGAAGCCCTACGGGGCAGTTCTACTCTGTCCTGTAGGGTGACTGTGAGTTGGAACTGACTCGATGGCACCTAACAACAACACTCCTTAAAAAAAAAAAAGAAAAGAAAAGAAACGGAGTAGCTGGTTTCAGTGTGCCACCTAGTCTAGTCTTTGCTCGTCTACTCTATTAGTACCAAAAAAAAAAAAAAAAAAAAAAAAGGTGGGGTATGCCCAGAGTGCGCCCTGAGCTCCATGGAACTACGGACTCTTACTCAACCCCACAGCCAGCACCACAGAAACAAGTCCACCCAACATCCCCTGCGGAGGGCAGCTCCACAGCCCCCTCTGAGCCAAGTGCCCACCAATGGAACACGAACTCAACTCCTGAAGATTCTCGTGCCTTGAGGGAATCTTAGACACCAAACCTATGTGCCTTTACAGACTGGCAGCCAGCAGTTTGGCAGCCTCAGGAAGTGCCAGAACCACTGTACGAAGGTCCCCTGGAAGACTCTGGAATCTGCCATCTATGTCACTGGCTCCTGTGGGACTTGGAAGGTTCTGGAGAATCTAACAGTACAAATCTGTGCCTATTGGTAGCCACACCTTGTCAGGTTTTAGAATTTCCTTCTCCTGACCTCCGAGATGAACGAGCTGGGCTGTGAGCTTGCTGGGCCCTGGGTGCCCGTGTCACTGCACCAAGTGGGGGTCTGGAAAGACAGCTGTTCTGGAGGAAACTCCTCGCTCAGTAAGACAACAACCCAAACGCTTTTGGATTCTAAAGTGCCCACTCAGCCAAAGCAGCTTAACACCACACCCTGCCCTGAGCAGGGCCGGGAGCCATGGAATCACCTGCTCCTCAGATGGAGGTGGATCTCGGACTTCAAAGCAATGAGGAGAGCTCAGCAAGAAAACAGGCAGGGCATCTGGTCATGACCACCGAGGGCGATGACTAGCACCCCAGTGATGTTTTTCAGAGCCATTTACCCTCAAGTGTCCACTGAGGCAAGTCAAGTTCCACCCAAGGAAAGCACCCAATGAAAGCACCTATTCACACCCTAATGGTATTATTCCATTATGACCCCCTGGACCCATCAGCCTGGCAGGGAAGGGGTAGAACAGGTGGGAAAAAAAAATCACACCCAAAACAAAGAACCACAGACACCCTCCCACCCGTCATGCCTCAGGTACCAGGAATTCAGTGCCAAACGGACGAGGCACCCAGGATAGTTATCTTGGAAGGCAGCCACAGTGTGAGAAACAAACGTTTGATGAAATATTTAAAATAACAGAGCTAAGTAAATGGAAGAGGATTCACATTATTAGACAGCAGTTGTTCCAGAAACCGGTTTTACAAAACCTGCTACAGGGAAGGAGTCTCACTGTGTCATTAATGAAGCATGAAGGGCGGGCGGTTAGCAGGACACAAGTGAAAAACAAGAAACCACTGTTCTCCTTTTCTTCCCCCAAAGCAGTGCTTCAGAATGCACAGGGGATACCTGTCCTGACTTGTTAAATCCACCCTCTGGCCCCCGGGTGGATATTCTCAGTTTGTCAGAGTGATGAACTCAGCCTGGAGATCAAAGGCTCTCTATTTACCAGACAGTTGTCTGCCTCCGCGAAGGCCTGGAACCCACAGCCCGGGGACACGTAACTGTGGAACCCTGAATGTAACAGCACCCATCCCTCCCTCCCCAGCACAGGCCGAGGGGGTCCCCTGCTCATCAGCAAGATGAAAACAGAGCATCTCCTCCCCTAGGGAAGGAAAAACACTTCTGGGAAAAAAAGAGGGAGCCCTCTTCAACTCCTAGTTCAAGTCCAATTAAGAAGGGAGTCGTTGCTTGGGAGGCACTGACTTCTGTTAAGGATGATGGAACGATCTGGAAACGGAGAGTGGTGATGGTTGCACAACATAGTGGACGTAATTAACACCATTGAATTGTGCGGGTCAAAAATTTTGAAATGGTAAATGTTTAAATACAAAACCCACGGCTGGTGAGTCAATTCTGACTCACAGCAACCCTAGAGGGCAGAGTAGAACTGCCTCACAGGGTTTCCAAGACTGTAAATCTTTACGGAAGTAGACTGCCACATCTTTCTCCTGAGGAGGGGCTGGTGGGTTCAAACCACTGAACTCTCGGTTAGTAGCTGAGTGCTTAACCACTGCGTCCTTAGGGCTCCTCCACGTTAGATATACTTACCACGATAAACAAAGGAAAACAAACAAACAAAATAAAACAAAACCAAGCAAACACAAAACAAAATCCAGAGCCTCCCAACAGATGCCAAGTGAGAATGGAAAAGAGGAAAGCGCGAGAGCTGTTCAAATGCTGAGCTGGTCAAAGAAACCACACTCTGGGGGCCAGGACTCCTCCTGCAGCCCAGCCTGGGCCTCACCTGAGACACACACGCACAGGAGAGCCCTGGAGAAAGCCCATCACCAGTGTGCTTCCTTCAGTTATATCCTGTTGGTCAGGACTGGGCCATTGCCATGGGCACCCTGCCTGCCCAGGGATGGAAACACTCATTTTATCCAAAAAAATGGGCGGAAGCTGGTGGGGCCACTTTGGATGCAATGGAATTACCTTCACTCCCAGAGAGCCTGCTGACAGGAAGGCTCAGCTCC